CACGATATGGAATGATTGAATGTAGATCTTCCAATTCTAACATCCATTCTTAATTCAGGAGGACATTTTTTTCAATATCCCCTTTCAGTAACATTGGAAAGTAATTAGAAATAGTATATAATAATAGTGTTTAGATATTCCCAATGTTCAGCATGTTAACTTGTATTATTCATTCCTGTGGGTTCAATCGAAATCAATTTCGAGTATTATTCGTTAGATTTGGTTTCATTCATAGATGTTTCTTCCATTCTATCTGATCTTGTCCAAGAAAGCAATCAGTAACATCATCATTGGATCTGTACAATAATCATTCAATTGAATTGGATTCCATTGAATGACTTTTGTGTGCTCCATAGATAAATAATCGTTTTTCTTTGCTTTTCTTTTTGTTTCAACCCCCTTACCATTCATTTTGGTCATCGATTCAAAATATAAACACTAAGAAAGTCTTCCCCTTATCAAGACTCAGATTGGTTTGACTAGGATGTTCCAATCCTGCTTGCAATCGATGTTATGAATAGAACTATTACGCAGTCGAATAATTGAAGGTATCTCCTGAACGAACACCATTGGATCCATATGCTTATCGAAATAAGTTTAACTTGATAAATAATGAACTTGATTCTGAATGATTGCACTGAGATTATATTTGGAAATCAACTCCATTGTACTGTTTAGTATAATAATGCTATTGCTTTTAACCAGGATAAAGAAAATGAAAAATACCTATAGTATCTTTTTAATTTTGAATGAGAATGGTATTGTAACAATGGAGTTCTCTAACAGTGAAGATTCGAAAAGCAATAAGCAATATATATATCTAGTATTTCTAGAAGAAAAAATCATTTCAAATATGGATTAATTGAATAGTATGGATACGATAAAATAGAATTGTGTAAAGGAAACAACTTATAAACTGAACAGACATAGTATGTTCTGTATTACCAATTTGTTACCTTAATTAAAACTATTTCTTTTTTTTATGTTTTCGGGCAGAACGCCACATTCTTCTCCATCCAATTGAATTCAAAGCGAATGAAAAGCAAAACACGGAGATTGTCAACAAACAAACAGAATATAGAACATAGGAATACATGCTATTGAGGTACAGCATCCTGTAGCAGTTTAATAAGCGATATCACTTCATTCCGTACCATCACCTTCTCCGATGAACTGAATGTCGCCTACACATCAAGCTTTTTCCGCATCATTACCATATTTTTGGGTGTCAAATCATACGAATTGTTATTTTTAATCAACCGAACAAAAGATTCAACATTCCCTCGGTTTCGCACGATCTGTACTCTACGTTTAAAAAACCTGCAAGCCACTACTGAGAAACCACATCATCACTCTAGAAATAAAGAGAAATAAGGAGATAAACCGTAGGAGCTGAAGTTTGAAGAGTCGCTATCCGCTGCTTCTGAACGGTTCGGAAAACGCGGGACTCGGCATTTTGTAAGGTACTAATTGAAAGGTCGTTCCCATCAACCAACTCGACTGCCGACTCCATCATAATCAAGTTTCCATCCGACAACTCGAACCCGAATTCTTTACAAAAGTCAGAAACCTAGATAGCGAGAGGGAAAGGATGTTACTTTCATTTGTTGCACACGCGCTACGAGTTGTGAGATGTGGACAGAAATATGATCACGAATTGCTTGCGCTTCTTTGACAGCGTTTTCCTGTAACTTGTTACACTGTTGCTGGACTAGACAATAAGAAAACGAAATTGCTGCAGTATCCTACCCTCGATCTTTAGCTTATCATAAAATTCCTTTTTCTGCTTATATTCCGGATCTGCGCGAATGTCACTCTCTCGAATCACGTTACTGTACCTTTGTCTAGTAGAGTGGTTATCTAAGCGGGAATAGGGCTCCATAGAAAAATGAAAATGAGTGAGAAAATGATTTGAAATGAAGGAGGCCTTCTGGTATTGAATTGATTGGGTTTGCTTCCCTGCTAAGTTAATATAAATTCCAAGGTGTCAGCCTCCCATAATTCGGGATCTGAGGTTGAATAGATTCTGTTCATATTCTGGGATATCGAAGTTTTTTTTCGGTATTTAATTTGATTCGTAAGGGATTTTTTTCTTCCTTTAGTTCAGTCTAACCTATGGATACGAGTAGTGAAATCGTTTTCGTTCTTACTGCATGCTGAAGTTTAGATCTTTGATCACTCGAGTGAAGAAGAGGCAGGAAAAGGGCAAAGCACAGGAGAACAAGGTAAAGCGTTGCTTTTCTGTTTTTTGGTAGGTGTGCCGAGTCAAGACTCCTTTTTTCGTAAGGAACCGGGCAGTGGACACGTGAGCCCCACCACTCCTCCTCCCATGCCAGAACGCTGGGAACTGAAATCGATTCCGAAAGCGTACACTCTTGGATATGAGCGTAGGAATATAAGGAGTGTCATTTTTCCAGACATATCGTACGGAGACGAGGCTGACCCTTTGAAGGAATCTCCGATCCTAACGAACGAATATTTCCGAGACACGCCCCCCATCCCCGTCTCCATTTCTTCTGTTTCAAACAAACAAGAAACCCGATCTCCCGGAACCGCACACACTCTCCCCATGGAGCGTTCGGTTCCTCCGCGCCCCACTTCCAACCCTCCCTCGCCTCCCATCGACGCTACCGACGCTACCGACACTGCTGACGCCTCCACCGCCTCCAACCTCTCCGATGGCTCCATCGATGAGCTCATCGGGCTAGCTCCGCAGAAGCCCGCCGACGACGCGTCGGACGGCTCTCTGCTTCAGAAGATGGGCCGGTCGATCACGAAAGTGAAGGGGCAGACGAGCAACGTGTGGAGTCGGATCGTGCGGCGCTCCTCGGAGATGAGCGACGATTTCCTCGGGCTGCAGAGCGCGGCGTCGCCCGTGCGACAAGAGTTCGTGGTGGATGTGGATTTGGTGCCGCCGGCGGGCGAGGAAGAGACGAATGAGGATGTGATGGCGATCTTCGGTCTGGGCGAAGCGGTGGAGGACGGGGACTCGGACGAAGGCGAGAAAGCGGCGCGGCGGAATTTTGGGTCGCTTAAAAACAATTTCGATCTGCTGCTTCGCGTGCTGGCGGTGCCGCGACTGGTCAATCCGCAGGAGCTGAGTATGCTGTATACGACCGTGCCGACGGAGAAAGCACGCATTACGAAGACCGTTTTGGGGTTTATCGAGGAGTGCGAGTCGTAATGAAAATCGAATGTAGAGGTCGCGACCGGGAGTTCTATTCGATCATCCACCGCTCTGGAATCGCGCTCCCGAGCGAGGAACTGCGCGTCCGGACGGTGAAGCAGCGAGATGGAACAAAGTTCGAAGTGAAGCGGATCGGGCAGT